TGTGTTTGTATTCATCTCCCCCTTCTACAAACTGTTTCTATTCTTGTAGACCCTTACGGGACCAACAAGTGGTATCAGAGCAGTGTTTTCTTTCTTTCCTTGTGTTTTGTTATTTCTCTGTATTAATTTATCTCTCCTTAGATAACTTACTGCTTTCAAATGGCTTTACATATTACAAACACACACACAAAAGATAATGGCTCTCTTGCCAAACCTCCCCGATTTGTCCGTGACAATTTTTGTCTCTGGAAGAACCGGATGTCCCTCTTTCTGGAAGGTGTGGATCCTGAAATTCCACATTATATAGAAAATGGACCATATATTCCATTTGCCATTGTTCCGGCTGTTCCAGCAACAGCTACGACTGCCGTGATTCCTGAACGACAGATTCCAAAGCTCCCACATCAATGGAGTAATGAGGACAAGAAGAAAATAGCTATAGACACGCGTGCTCGGTCTATAATAGCTATGTCTCTTCCTGATGAGATTTATCACTCTGTGATGAAACTCAAAACTTCTAAATCCGTATGGGATACTTTATGTGTCCAATATGAAGGAACCTCTCAGGTTTAGGAGACTAGAAAGATCAATTTAGTAAGACAGTATGAAAGCTTTCTCTGTGAAAAGTCGGAGACGTTGTCTTAAGTACATCAAAGATTTAATTGCCTTCTTATTGATCTAAGGGCTGTCGACAGGGAATATACTAATTCTGAAACCTTGACTAAGTTTCTAGAATGCCTTCCTGAGTCTTGGGACACCTTTTCCATGTGTCTCAAGATGTCAAATGACATATCCACTCTTTCTCTTTCGTCTTTATACGGGATTTTGCTTAACCATGAGCAATCTTGTCAACTGAAAAGAAATCTTGTAAAAGATTCCAGGGAAATGAAAATATCTCCTTTAGCTTTGATCTCTGAGTCTTCTTCAGTTGAAACCTCTACTCCTTTTATCTCTTCTCTACCTCTCGTGGTCATCACGGAGATTGACTCTTCTGAGGACATTCCAGAATCTGAATTAACAGATTTTGATGAGTCCCTGACACTCCTGACTAAGTCATTCAGGAGGTTCGCCAGTAAGAGCAAATTCTGCAGATCTCCTTAGCTATCCCTAAGGGAGAAGCCAAAGTCTGAAAGAATAGACAAGGCTTCAGCTGTCTGCTACAATTGTCACCGGCCTGGACACTTTGTAGGTGAATGCAGATCGAAGAAGACTGTGACGCCATCTTCTAAAGCTCCTTCCTCCTTCAGGACCACAGATGATAAATACTTAAAACTAAAGGAGAAATACAAGAAGATAAAGAAAAACCAGCAAAAGGCTAAAGGTCTTGTTGCTGAAGAGCATGACTGGGCTGAATCATCTTCTGACGAGGAAGATAAAGCTTATGTATGCTTGATGGCTATTGATGCTGACGAAGGTTCTTCTAAAGCATCTACCTCTTTTGAGCCATCTTCTGTTACTCGGGTATGTATCCTGAATGAACCTTCTTCTAGTCTTTCTGCACTAGGTACGCTGACGGTTGACCTTTACAATGCCCTCAATGGCAAATCTAAAGCTGAAATGCTTAACRTTGATCTTCATGAGCAATTAAAGATTTGTCATTCTAAGATCAAAGAACTGACCTCAGTTGAGGAAAATCTTAAGGATCAGGTTATTGTAAACCAAGCCATCACTGTTGAAT